GAAAAATGAATAAATCAATTATTTAACGTCAGACTTTCGTTGGTGGTTTTGACTGATTGTGATAGCTACCAATTATAATAGAATAATGTCAAGATTAGGTTACAGTAATGAAGATTTCTTGAATTTATTAATAATTTATGGTGAGTGCAATAGAATTGCAAGTAGAACATGCCGAGTATTTCATGAAAGATATCCACAACTTCCGAAGCCGAATAGTAATGTGATAAATCGACTACTAAAAAATTTTAGGTTGAATGGAACCTTCCGTCCAAAAATCATTCGTAAGAAGACTAAAGTGGATGATGATGACAATGGTATAACAGTTTTAGGATACTTTCATGCATTTCCAAATGCTTCTCTGCACGAGGCTGAAAGGGAGATACGTATACCCTACGTGACAATTTGTCGAATTCTTAATAAGCATAAATGGCATCCCTATAAGTTCTACTGTGTCCAACATTTGAAAGAGACTGATTTACCTCGTAGAGTGGAATTCTTTGAATGGTTACTTGTCAAGACTCAAGAGGATGAACATTTCCTTGACAATATCATATGAACAGATGAGGCCAAGTTCACAAAAATGGAGTTTTCAATAGACACAAGAGTCATTATTGGGCGCCAGAAAATCCCCATGTTGTCCGCCAAAGGGGTTTACAAGAAAGATGACAATTCAATGTATTTTGTGCCATAAAGAACGAGTCAATTTTTTATATCGAGTTTTATGATGATAATTTGAATGCATCAAAATATGAAGATTTACTGAGGAATGAAATCCAAATGATTTTAAATAATAGACCAGGAAGAGAACGTGTATGGTACCAAATGGATGGTGCTCCACCCATATTTTAGGCGTGTAGGTCATATTGACTTATGCATACTGTGGAATTTTCAGGTTGATCCGTTCAATAGTTTGCCAGAAACGGCTAATTAACGCTCATCTTGAAAAGCCCTGTATATTTTATCTGTCACCTTGTTTATTTATTGCTTCCACCCAATTTTTCCTCCCCCGCAAAAGTTCAATCATTAAATAAGAATATCTGAAACGTATTTCCTCTCATCAAATTGATGATGTGAGGACTAAACCTCTAGCCTGAAATAAATTAGTATGACGTGGTCTATCCTCGTTAGTCGAAGACAAATAGAATTAGTCTCTCACTTTCACCTTTCACCTAATGACCCATCCGACGGATTCGAGTTACCAAAATCATTAGTACGATTTGTTTTTGTTGAAAATGAACGTTTTTAGGCACAAGGAGATTTCTCTCAATGAAATGTGTGACGGAGAATCTTCGTGGTGGGATGTTTGGAAAAACAATTAAATAAATTCTCCAGGAGTTTTTTGTTGCCGATGTAGACTGAGACACAACGCCCGTATATTGAATTGCGAGGCTGAGCGAACTGGATATAAAAAAAGATGGTAATTATCTGTGTGATGTTTTATTCTGATATCCAGTATAGCGGATGATAACTAAAACATTGTAAACGGCACCGTTCAAGAGGCAAGAAATTTTAAATGCGTAACAAAACTATAGACAATAATTTTAACGATAAGGCACTTGGAAGTCTATACAGGGTTGGCCGAAAATGAACACAAGCCAAGGCTTTCGAATAAAACCCTGTTTTTCAGCCATCTCCCCAAAGGATATCAAATTCTTTCTTCAACGATGTTACACATGTTGCGATTTCTACTCAAAATGACGGTGTAGAAGCCATTTTCTCCAAAGTCAATATGGCGGCACTATGACGTCATCTATGAAAATATTAACAAACGATAAATTGGTCAGTTTTTGAGTAAAAATTCAAAATTTGAAAATTCTCACAAATACTCTTCTTTTTCTTCAATGTTTTATATGCTATTTTATATGCCATGTTTTTTGTAAACCATGCCATGTAAACCTCATATAAGTAAACCTTATATAAGAATAATCTCCCAACAAGATGACGCTGCTGCCGTTATTTCAGGAATTGTAACCACTTACCTCAATCAGTGTTTTGGGAAGAATTGTTTGAGAACCAATAGACCAATCCAGTGTCCAGCCAGGTCGCCTGACTTAACGCATCTTAATTTATTCATTTGGGGTTATCTTAATGAAAAGGTGTATGAAAAGCCAGCATCTTAGGAAATACTGGAGAACAGAATTCGAGATACCATCACCACAATTTTGACGCAGCATTCAGCAAACTTGCTCAATGAAAATATTGCAAGAACAATATTATGTCAGCAATAAGAAGGTCAGCGTATGGAATATTTGGCTGCTCTCACGCGTCTGCTCGCGTTCGGGTCGCGTTCTCGGCGCATCGTCCCCCGTAGACTTACAGTAGACGTGACGCGTAATGGCTTACGGCGTTGCGTCAAGTTATTCTTATCGTGATAACTTTTAAACGATTCGTCCATCAATTAGTGTAAACGTTTATTTATATCAAATACCTATCAATTTTTTTAAGAATTTGACAGATATTCTAAAATGTGTACTGTTGAAAAAGTATCCAATTTAATTGTATTCATGGCTCAATATATACAGGGTGATTCAAAAGTACTTTGACAAACTTCAGGAGGTGATTCCTCACAATATTCTAATATGAATTGTCCAAATAAATAAATGTCCGGAAACGCTTCGTTTCCAAGATACAGGATGTTGTAGTTTTATTTTTATTTTCGTTTTTTTTCTAATAACTTTTGAAATACTGAACTTAATTAAACGAAACTTGGTAATAGGAGGTTTTTGAGGTGTTGAATTCGAACCTGATGTTCTTATTGTTCTTACTCGTAGGGGGCGCCACCTACACGTCTTTTTCTTTTTTAAAGATCCATAACTTTTTTGGACGTACTTCTAGCACATTTTTCAGTGAAAAAATCGATTCCTCTATCGTATCTACCTAAATAAGCTACCCTTGTTACTAGTCGCTGTAAGCAACCGTTTTCTAAATATTTGGACTTGAAGTCGATTATTTGATAATCGATGCATGTTGAAGTTATTACGAATATTTTGCATTTTTCACAAGAATGCTTTGGAAATAAAATTGACGTTTGTGAGTAGTTTTGGTAATTACATATTTTGTGACAGTTAGACATTTTGTTGAAGTTTCCATAAGGAGAAGTAGAAAACACTTATTTTGAAAAAATGGATTATTTAAACAATAATGCTCATTTAGCCGATATGCATTTCGTTTATGGCCTTGCGGATGGCAATTGGCTGAAAATCCTCAATATTTAAGATATGTACTCTTCACGGACGAGTCAAACTTCCCCCGAAATGCTATCACAAACTTTCATAACAACCATGTTTGGGCTCTCGAAAATCCGCACGCAGTTAGTGAAAGGCATTATCAGTATCAATTTTCTGTAAATGTATGGGCGGCAATAATTGATAATTACTTGATAGGTCCTTTCTTTCTTCCGCTCTCGAAAATCCGCACGCAGTTAGTGAAAGGCATTATCAGTATCAATTTTCTGTAAATGTATGGACGGCAATAATTGATAATTACGTGATAGGTCCTTTCTTTCTTCCGCTCCGACTGAAGGGCGCAACTTACAGACACTTTTTAGAAAATGAATTGCCGGGACTACTTCAGAATGTACAGTTAGAAATTTGTATCCGCATGTGGTTTATGCATGATGGGGCTCCGGCCCATTTTAGCGTTGTGGCCAGGGAAATCCTTAACACAGTCTATCCAAATCGATGGATCGGTCGGGGTGTAGAAGAACCTAACCAGTCGTGGGCACCAAGGTCCCCAGATCTAAACCCGATAGATTTTTATTTTTGGGGACATTTGAAGTCACTAGTTTATAAGACTCCAGTAGTGAACAAGAAAGATCTAAAAAACCGAATAGTAGACGCCTGTGAAACAATAAGAAACACACCAATAATTATTGAGCGGGTACAAGATTCAATGACTAGACGACTGACTGCCTGTATCTTCGCTGAAGGTGAACACTTCTAACAATTTATTTGAATACAATTTAGTTTCGTTTATTTCAGTTTATTCTACATATTCAAAATTTTCTGGAATAAAATGTTTACATTTCTTGCAAATTTTATTAAAACAAATACTGATTATGCACCCTTGATACAAAAATAACTATTTCGCTTGAGGATGTCATAAAGGAACGTACCCAACAGTAATTACCTCTTCAAATGAGTTAAACGTCAAATTCATTTCCAAAGCATTCTTGTGAAAAATGCAAAATATTCGTAATAACTTCAACATGCATCGATTACCAAATAATTGACTTGAAGTTTTCAAGTCCAAATATTTAGAAAACGGTTGCTTACAACGACTAGTGACAAGGACAGCTCATTTACGTAGATATGATAGAGGAATCGATTTTTTCACCGAAAAATGTGCTAGAAGTACGCCCAAAAAAGTTATGAGTCTTCAAAAAAGAAAAAGACGTGTAGGTGGCGCCCCCTACGAGTAAGAGCAATAAGAACATCAGGTTCAAATTCGATACCTCAAAAACCTCCTATTAACCAGTTTCGTTTAATTAAGTTCAGTATTTCAAAAGTTATTTGAAAAAAACGAAAATAAAAATAAAACTTCAACATCCTGTATCTTGGAAACGAAGCGTTTCCGGACATTTATTTATCTGGACAATTCGTATTGGAATATTGTGAGAAATCACCTCCTGAAGTTTGTCAAAGTACTTTTAAATCACCCTGTATATAGAAGGAAAAGTAGAAAACTGACCCCTTTTTTATCAATAACTCTCTCCTAAAAAATTCTTTTTTCAATTTAAGAGAATCAAATTTAAGTTTGTTTCCAGAATTGATTATATTTATTCTCAGAATGTGTTCACTATACTTGTCCTTTTGTGATTCTTGATGTGCCATCTTAATCATGAATTCTAAATCAAAGTTACATTCACCATCAATTTTTTCAAGAATGGGAAAGTGAAAATCGGTTGAATTGAAATGAAAAATGTGTGTCTTGCAAATCATTTCTGGAGGTGAACATGGTGGGGAACACTCGAAAATCGTCATTGAAAATATCCTACTTACTATCAATCTAACGGAGAGTTCAAATGTGAACCAGGCATTACACAGATGCTCCACCACGAGAAAATAAGGTAACGGCTCTGTACAATCCTTATCCGAGTTTTCGTGCTGGCATTTCACCCTCATGTCAGGATGTGTTTTCAAACAAAATGAGAAGACCGATACACAGATGAAGAAAACCGACGCTCCAGCAACTATCTGAAACAAAGACGGGGATTGGAATGTGCTTAACTGGAGTAGCCATTCATGGTTAGTAAAGAAAAATGCAGGACAAAATAAGATGGTTTTTTCTTCATATTCCATCCTAAGTAATCCCGATTCTCCTCAGTTATTTTCCCGAAAGCAATATACGAAGTCACACATCAGATTGGATTTTTTTTCCAGTCTTAACTATTGGGTTATTAGGTATAAACAGCAGTCAATATTATAAATTCATTCCCATTTATTTGAGAAATAAATCATATTTATTGCAAGCAATCGCTTTTTCATAATACGGGGTATGATTCTCAAGTCAAGCTGGAAAATTGATCAATCTACCTGCTACCCTTTCACGGCAAGACATCTCTAAAATTTCCAACGAAAATTTTTCAAAAGGTGGAGTTTATAAAATCACATTACAGTAATTGAGCTCTCATAAAATTGTATTCCTGAAATTAACTAAACGCTGAAGTGATTCAATATATTTCTGTTTAATGAAGTTCGTAATTAGTCATAAATTTCGACGAAAACCCACTCGCACGGGACAGTATCTGAACCAAGAATCCAACCACCATCAATCGACTAAAAGAGGAATCATCAAGACTCTATTAGACCGTGCTTTTGAGCTCTGCAATACGAAGAAAGGTCTCGAAAAGGAACTAGACATCATCAAAAATGATCTTCAACGGAATGGCTTCTCCAAAGCGATGGTGGAACAGACTTTGGATAAAAGACTTCGCAAGGAAGAGCTCTACCAGTTGTTTTTTTTTGCCCATTCATTGTATCGAGAGTTTTGATACTTCTATTTGCTCCAGATCAGCTTCGTGGTCTGTTCCATAACATACTGGTGTGGGGTTGGAATTAGCCAAAGGATATTCATTCCCTGGTAGATTTTCTAGTCACAAAGTGATTTAACGAAATCATCAAGAGTACTTTTATTTCTTCTGGAATTTCTGCTATTCTTGAACCTGTAGGTAGCACCAATGACGGTAAGTGTCCTGATATAGTAACTTTAATTTCATGGAAGTGAACTTGCGATTGCCAGTGACAAAAGTTTATTTCAGAAATAATGAAAACTTGAACAAAATTGTCTAATTCACTTTCTTGATTGTGAAATTTGTTACTTCCAAAGGCAACAATCTATATCATCAATTTTTGAAATTGCATGGAAGTTACTTTGAAAGAGACCTAACTCTTTCTAATAAGATGAATCAACGATTTAACTCATTTGAAGGTTATGTCACTCTCAGTCATAAGAATAGAGACCAAAATGTCTTCCATAATGTGAACACTAGTTCTACTGATCTACTAAGAGATATCAACTTGCTTAGGACCTATGCGACTGTAATTCAAGCGGAAATTTACGCTATTGAATTGTGTGTGGAGAGATTGGAAAAATCCAACCTCATACACAAGGCAATAAAAATATTCCTTGACAGTCAAGCGGCATTGGAAGCTCTTGACTCCTACCGAGCAACGTCTGAATTGGTAGCAAACTGGCAAAGACGATTCTCCTCGATAGGAAGACTCAACAGATTGTCTCTGGTCTAGATTCCTGGCCATACTGGCCTGGAAGGCAATGAGGCCGCTGACTCCTTCGCAAAGGAGGGTGCTGCAAGCAGCTTTATCGGATCTGAACCTAGATTTTGCCAAACAAAGATTGAATACCTGGATGGCAAGAAGATTTATGGACTTCAGGCAGAATCTTATTGGCTCACTTCAAGGCGTTAATACACCCTTCCAAGCTTTTTTTTCGGTACTTGGGAGCTGTCTGACTTGACCATTCAGTCCAAGCCTCCAAAAAACACTGCAGCCACTGGAACTTATTGCATGAGACCAATTCCATCAGTCTCGTTCCATGTACTAGTTTGTACAGGTTCCGTGTTAGATGTTCGTGTAATTTTGTACGTCCAAATATTACCCGCCTTCTGTGATTCAGTGCCTCACATTCGCATAAGATGTGTAGAGCTGTTTCTATCCCTTCGTTGCATAATCTGCAGCTGAGATCTCCGTTGTACAGCCCCATTTTATTCAGGTGTCCTCTAAGCGGACAATGACCGGTTAGTAGTCCTATAATTATTTTGAGCCGATCCCTACTATACTGAAGTAGTTCTTCGGTTATTTTCTAGGACGGTTCCCTAATGAAGGTTCTACTGTGTTTGTTGCCAGGTACTTTTGTCCAGTACTATGTGTGCTTCTTATACATTGAAAAAGGATAGGAGATATTCTACAGAGTTACTTTATGAACAACGTGGTTTGTTCAAAGTCAGAAAATTATACGCTCATCAATGTTTATTATGGATTTGTAGGAACCCAATTAACAGAATTTCACATAAATATAATACGCGAATGACCTTCAACCAAGCAATTACCATACCACGCTGTAGATTGAGTCATAACCAGAAATTTGTGACATATTTTGGCCCGAAATTATACAATAAGCTACCACTCCATTTGAAGAATATTAATAATCATCATAAATTGAAGAAGGAATTGAAAGTTTTCATAAGAAATCATTATGATCAATTGTAGGATATCTTTGAAAATGTTTAAGCTGAATTACCTGCTCTCTCTTTCTCTCTTATTTCCTCATTATAGCCATCATTCTCCAACTGCGGTTTTTAACCTAGTGAGGTGGATAGTATTATGTAACCAAACGACCTATTTTAGTTTTTTCTTTTTTTGTATATATTTTATTATACATTATATAACACACCTTATATCAGTCTGTAGCCACGACACAAGCCTAGCTTAGGTGGCCACAGATTGTGTAATATATGGTTATATAATAAGACATTTGAATTGTAAATCGTAATTGAATTGAATTGTAAATCGCACGGAAAACAAATCATGTAACTGAATAATTGATGGACATGAAAATTGAGTAAAAATTACTTACTTACTTACTTATATCGGTCCATATCCTGGACCAACAATCTGGTTTCTTACCAATGGTTTTGGTACCCCCATCGTGGCTTCCCCCATTATCACAAAGTGTAAAGGAGGTAGTTTCAGGTCTCTGATACAGCTGTTGGGGTAGTTCTCATTGATCTCGTTATTCCCAAACATGCAAGTCTTTGCACCTTGCCTATTTTGTTGATGGCGGTCGCCTGCTTCATCTTTGGCCACCAGGCCAGAGATGCGTATGTTATCATGGGTTTTACCACCATCTTGTATAACCAATATACCATGTTTGGTTTTAGTCCCCATGTTTTTCCATAGGTGCATCTGGCGAGCATCAGTGCTACCTCCGCTTTCCTCTTCATCCTGCCCAAGTGTTGGTTCCAGGTCAGTTTGGAATCTAGGATTACTCCCAGATATTCAATCTCCCTGTTATTTGAATCATCATATGCAGAGCCTCTGTACATCACAGCCGTTCTCTTGCCATCTGACCTGAAAGACCACTCACCATACAAACTAATCGGCTTCGTTGAGAAACTGGGTTTATTTGGTCGGGTGGTAATAAGTGTGAGCCACAATAAACCCTTGCGGGTTGCGGTGGAGGGTCAAATAAACCCACCCAGTTTGGACCTGACCCTAACCTAACCTAATGTATATGTCAATCGTAATTTGGGTATAATAGCAATCCAGTCGAATCGATATTTGATATATACATCTGATGTTTCAAGAAACTGTTCTACTACACTTTTGTAGTACAGTTGATATGATGATGATGAATATCATACTCATTTCAAACTCACAGTTATTGAACACAACTAAGAACTGCTGTTCCCGTTCCTCACCTCTCTGTTATTTCCAGAAAAGAACAGAAAACAAATACTCTTTCGTCCGTAGATGTTGGAACTTGGTTTCACAACAAACCAGCGTTGAGACCCTCATGCGCTTTGTTATTCGTAGATCGAGTCTTCTGTCGACCCATAGATGGCGTTTTTAGATATCATCGCCTTTTCTCACCAAAGTTTGTTTTTCAACTACAGCAGAGATGCATGGTTCAGCCTAATATCACTGATGAAACTAATGGTCGGTCGAAACAGCGATTTTTTTGTTTTTGGACTCAGATTTCAACTATATTCCCAGCTAATTGAATACGACAACGTCCGTCCGCACGTTTCATAACTCACCGGACGAAAATCAAACGAATTGAGCGTCGAAGTTGTGCCTCACCCGTCGTACTCCCCAGACCTCAAGACACAGACCAGCGGAATCTTCGCCAATCACGACCAGGCAAATACGACATTCGTCAACTTCATCGAATTCCGAGCTCACAACTTTTATGCTGACGGAATTTAGTAGACCTGTGTTACGTTGGCAAAAGTGCACCTATTTCAACTGAATGAAGACTCATGAAAATGGACAAAAATTTTTGGAATAACCAGTTAGAATCAATTAGTAGATGTGAACCAACAGTTATTGAAGAAACAAGAAACTAATTCCGCTATATAGTAATTGAATGCTAGTAGCAACTATGTATTACGTTTGTCGGAGAATATGAGATAGTTATTTTTTCGCAGAGGCAATGCCAAGCAGAAACCCAATTAAACTGCAGTCATTATTTTTAACGACCATCTTTGAAAATAAAAGCGAGACTTCACTTTTGGTAGTTTGAATACGTATTTTGAATATTGTTAACTAGTCTAATTATTATCTAATCTTTGTCGATAGCTGAACTTTGTAGAATCTTGATACAGATTTTTTCAATTCAGATTCGTATTTCAATCATATATCTATGGAACGCCGTTTTACTTTTTATTGAAACAAATATTCATTCCTTATTCAAAAATGGAACATTTTATTAAAACAACGATAAAAATAAAATAAAAACAACAATAAAAATTAACAATTTATTCAACTAACAATTTATTTGTTTGAATTTAATTGATTCATGGATTTGTTCGACACATTAAAAACGATTGTTCACAAATGTTTTTCTATTTTGAATGACACTTGATTCAAAATGTTACATGAATGAAATTGTTATTTGAATAAAAAATACTATTGAAAAAACTTTTATTGATTCCGAAGAAAAATATTGTTTCAGAGTATTGGAAAATGGAACGCCAATTTACTTTATATTATGCTGAAAAATAATCTATATACATATAGTTCAACTCAGCAATGACTAAACATTTTTATTCAACAGTCAATGGAATGTATTATTCGAATAAATTCAACAAACGTTTCAATTCCGCATATAATTTTGAACTTTGAATAAAATGTTAGATATTTATATGACTGTTGAATTATAATGAAACTTTAAATTCACTTTCTAAAAGTAAGTTTGGGAATGAAATTTCAATGAATATATCTGAATGAGTGTCAAAGTTTTCCCATGAAACATTGTTGATAATAAAAATAGACTTTTGTTTGTCTGAAAATATAAAAACTAATTTTCCATACTAAATATTTCTCTATGAATGATAAAGATTGTTATATTTCAATTTCTTTGAAAGTGTTGAATATTTTCAACATTTACTTTAATGCATTCAATTTAAAATTTGGTTACAACTTTTGTGCAAAACATTCTGAAGCAAGTATCATTTTATTTCATCAATCTTTTTAAAAGCTAATTTCTGACAAAGAATTAAATTTTTTGATGATTTGAAAAGTTTATTGTATTTGAAAGTTACATTTAAAACGATTGTTGATAATTTTAATTCGGCGCTGGTATCGAGCGGATTCATCAAGAACTTCAAGTGTTACATATGGCAACATGTTCATTTATAGTACGACAAAACGCCGTTCAACCATGGCGCCGAATTAAAATGATCAACAATCAATTCAATTCATGTATCATCTGTATGCAACAATCAAAACAATTCATTTTTACAAAACACTAATAGAAAGTAAAACGGCGTGGCACGCGATGCCAATAACAGATTCTGGTCCAATGAACCTACTTGCAGCACCCTCCTCTGCAAGGGAGTCAGCAGTCTTCAGGCCTTCCAGGCCAATATGGCCAGAAATCCAGACCAAAGACACTCTGTTACGTCTTCTTATCGAGGAGAGTCGTTTCTGGCAATTTGCTAGCAATTTAGACGTTGATTAGTAGGAGCCAAGGGCTTACAACGCCGCTTGACTGGCCGAAAATATTTTTATTGATTCGTGGATGAGGTTGGATTCTTTCAATCTCTCCGCACACAATTCAATAGCGTGAATTTCCTCTTGAAATACAGTCGCATAGGTTCTTAGGTAGGTTAATATCTCTGTCTTGGATCTCCGACTGAACACCTGCACCTGAACCGGAAGCTATTTTTGATCCATCTGTGAACCAACAACTATCTGCTCTTAATATTCCCTTCTCCTGGAGAATCAAGTCCTCTCTACTCGGAAACAGTACTTTAGAAGGAAGTTCGTAGTTGACAGTTGGAGGCATAAAGTCAGAGGTCATTTTCAGAATGCTGTGACTTCCAGTGACAACCAACAGTCTGTTGCAATTGTCAAAGTGCAGTTCATCTAGCCTCTCTCTCCAGAAAAATGTGGATAGGAGGTAGATCCAAAAATATCTCCTTGGCCGATGACGCTCCTTATCTAACTGACGGAAACATATTTTGAAACATTTCCAAAATGTATTCGTTGACTTTAATAATAATTGAAAAATCAAAATTTCGACTCGAGAACACGACCAACAAATGTAGATTGTTTCGCAGACCTGGACGGATTCGATGAGAATTTAATTGAAAATTTGAAATGACGCGAATCAAGTTAACGTCCCAATCACGTTGCAAAATAACTTCATAACGATTTTTGATGGCAGTTTATGAAACCATGCAATTTCGCAATACCAAATTGAAAACTGCAGGCACAAATTTGCAGTGATGGATTATTATACCGATCTCCTGATTGAAGTGTATTCAGTCATTCAAACGAGGGGTTGGAGAGGCTGCAAATAAAATATTATCAATCAGTGGTGGATTGACATGTTTTAGTCGATGTTACAGACGAGTGAGAAGTATTATTCGTCCAATTTAGCAATGTGGTGAAATTACACAACACAAGCTCTTTCGAACTCAACAGGTTAACAAGCAATAATGTGAAATAAGTTGAAAATTGGTGCCCTGCCAATCTATCATTCCATTCAAAGGCGACTTGGAGGATATTTCTTTGGAAAACGAGAAGATCTCCAATTTTACGGAAAATTAATTTCTTGGACTTCAGATTGATAACAAACTGAAATTTGGTAGCCAAATTGATGATAAAATGGTGTGAGAGAAACGCATCTCGAATATGGTTGGTAAACTAAACTCTTTGTGTCTTTTAATCAGGCCACTACATAACTGAAGTCAGTTTCGAAATCTTCAAAATTATATATCTCATCCTCATTCAATCTAAACCCTCATGTGACCTCATGAGATCCTCAGCTCGCGCCTATGACGCATTCGTCACAAAATATTCAAATTACTTCGTGTCGTAACGTGTCATGACGTCGTGATGTGTCATGTCGTGATGAGTCGTGTCGTAACGTCGTGTCGCAACCTGTCGTGTCGTATCCTGACGTGTCATGTCGTGACGACACAGAACAAAGCGTCACATCGCGTCTTATAATGTGCCATGTCGTGACAAGTCGTGACGTGCCCTGTAGTATCGTGACGTGTCGTCGTGTCAGGCCGCGACGTGTCGTGTCGTATGAGACGACATGCCCTGTCATGTCGTGACATGTCATGTCGTGCAAGATGTCTTGTCATGTTGTGACGTGTCTTGTCGTATCATTTTAGAGGTCATGTCACGTCTTGTCTTGTGACGTGTCATGTCTTGTTGTGATGTTTCTTGTCACTTCACGTGACGTTACGTCACATTTTGTCGTGTCTTGACGTGTCTTGTCGTATCGTGCAAGACGTCACGTCATGTCACATCTTGTCTTGTGAAGTGTCGTATATTGTTGTGTGTTTATGTGTCGTGTCGAGACGTTCCATGTAACTTCACGTCGCGTTACGTAACATTTTGTCATGTCATGACGTGTCTTGTTGTATCGTGCAATACGTCATGTCACATCTTGTCTCGTCTTGTGACGTGCCATGTCTTGTTTTATTGTATTGTCTCGTATCGAGACGTTACGTGTCACTTCACGTCACGTTCCATTTCATTTTATCATGTCGTGACGTGTCTTGTCGTATCGTGCAAGACGTCATGTCACGCCTTGTCTTGTGTTGTGACGTGTCATGTCTTGTTGTGTTGTGATGTATCATATCGAGACGTTTCATGTCACTTCACGTCGCGTTACGTCACATTTTGTCATGTCATGACGTGTCTTGTCATATCGCGCAAAACGTCATGTCACATCTTGTCTTGTCTTGTGACGTGCCATGTCTTGTTTTATTGTTTTGTCTCGTATCGAGACGTTTCGTGTCACTTCACGTCACGTTACGTCACATTTTGTCATGTCGTGACGTGTCTTGTCGAATCGTGCAAGACGTCACGTCATGTCACGTCTTGTTTTGTGATGTGTCATGTCTTATTTTATTGTGTTGTCTCGTATCGAGACGTTTCGTGTCACTTCACGTCACGTTCCATTACATTTTATCATGTCGTGACGTGTCTTGTCGTATCGTACAAGACGTCACGTCATGTCACGTCTTGTTTTGTGACGTGTCATGTCTTGTTTTATTGTGTTGTCTCGTATCGAGACGTTTCGTGTCACTTCACGTCACGTTCCATTACATTTTATCATGCCGTGACGTGTCTTGTCGTATCGTGCAAGACGTCACGTTATGTCACGTCTTGTTTTGTGACGTGTCAGGTCTTGTTGTGATGTGCCGTGTCGAGACATTTGGTGTCACTTCACATCACGTTACGTCACATTTTGCCGTGTCGTGACAGGACGTGTCGTGTCATGACGTGACGTGTCGCACAAAACATCACGTCATGTCACTTCTTGCCGTGTCTTGTAATATGTCGTGTCATATCTTGTAATGTCGTGATGTGTATTGTCGTTCGTGCAAGACGTCGTCTTGCTTTATCTTGTGTCGTGTCATAACCTGTTGTGTTGTGATGTATCGTGACGTATCGTGTCGTGACTTGTCGTGTCGGGTCACGTCTTCTCTTGCCGTATCGTGTGGTGCAAGACGTCACGTCAGGTCTTGTCTTGTGTCATGTAGTGTCGTATCGTGTCGTGACGTGACGTACCCTGTCTTGACAAGACAACACGTAACGTGAGGTCACGTCTTATCTTATGTCATGTCATGTCGTGAGGAAAGAGGGAAAAATTAAAATTTAGAAACAATCATTACTATTAATGTATACATTAAAAAAATCTCTATCGAAATGCATTAAATCAAAACATACAAAATACTGAAACAACCGAACATATTATATTTTTCATATATGTTCCCAGTAGAAATACATACATGTTTTCTGGTTTTTCATTCGTTGTAAGTGTACTTCAAACAGTTTGTAGTTCTATTTTCATATTGTATGATATTTTATTCCATGATTGTCTAGAAGTTTGTCAATGAGAATTTACTTTCTTGGAGAATAAAGCATATTCTCTCTCTCTCTCTCTCTCTCGCAATTCCGTTTCTGCATAAAATAGCAATACACCCTTGGGATCAGTTGGCCTAGCAATGAAAACTTATAGACCTGGTAAATTCACGTGTTATATCGAAAGGCAATACATGAAAGTTTTGGAAATTCAGTACTTCTTCTCATTGGAAAGTAAGTCGCTCAGCATAGACAGTGAAATTCCAAGGTTATACGTCAATAACCTAAATATAGACAACCGGGTTTTTGCATGACCTCTGGTGTTAATAAATGCCAGAATATGAGGATTATTCACTAGTGGATTATTAGTGGTGTGATTCACAAACTAATATACAAGTGCAAGTGCTTGTGCAGAGAAGGCTAATCCACCCTTCTTGACAAAACAGAAACACATTTCCGCTACACTACTTTACTACGTCATAGATGAGTAAGTTAGTAAGTTAATAATCACATTTCGGTGTTGCACATTGAACGGTGGTACCTTAGCCTGGGAAGAGGAATAGGGTTCGTCAAATAGAGCCCATATTTTTGGCTTGAGTTTTTGCCACCTGCTAAGTGTTCCAGCGTAGAAGGCTTCTTCGAAGCCGAACATGCGAGCCACTTCTTCATCTGTCGGTCTGGCGGAGTCGATGTCGAGTTTGTCCAGGATCGCCAAAGTCGCCTGGAAAACAAACATTAGTGTTATTATCATCTTCGGCTTGATTTATTGTTTCATTCCATAGAAGGGTGTTTCTATCTATCAAATTTCAGAATATTTATCGAAGGAAGTTCAATCTTCCTCTTGAAGATGATCACTTGGTGATCGAAACACGTGTCGAGGTGTTGAAATAACGATTTGGTGTTGGGAAATAATCCAGCAATATTCATTACTACAAAAAAGGTTCCAAACAGTGCATAACTAGTACAGTTCAGAAATAGTGAAGACGTTCTTGTCACCGTGTTAGGAATCACATGTTGAAAGATAAGATCTCGTTAATCCTCAGCTCGCACAAGCATCAATTTCTGAGGGTTGTGGTTCGTAAGGGTGCGACAGCTGGTTAATGAAAAAAACATATTTTAAACATATTTTATATAAAATACGACTATTTTTCACAATCATCATTCTACAGACTGTAAAAATACTCATCTCGTCTGGCAATTTATATTTCTCAAGCGTTATTTGATCTGGCCATCGATCTCAAATTCAATATCTTCTGCAGATATCTGAATTTTTTCAAGCTTCGTGTTATCTTCACAATTATGTGAGCATCAGTAATTTCGTCGTTATTAACGAATTATTTCACATGACTCGAGGTGATTTCGAATGAATTATTATCATCTGTGAGGGCGTACCAATAGCCACGGCCATCAGCCAGTCCCAATTTTGGCCCTCGAATATTTACGAGCAAGAGTGGTTCATTCCATTCTTTTGGGAATTCTGTGCCTGCAAAAGCGAGATTTGAGTTCTATTTTCAATCTGGTGAAGGAAAGCAAACAGATAAGATACATTACGAACTCGGTGGATCAGAATAAATAATCCCGAGATGTACACCATGTTGTGAAATATATTATTTATCAGCACTGTGTCATTTGAGTGGACCAGCTTTCAACTCCCTTGAGCGAAGAGAAGGGCTATTTTCGGGGATTTGAGACTGAACCTGCAACGTAATATTTGTTGCGCTGAATATTTTACAATTTGTCTATTTGGTACAAGCACAGCTTTGACCCTCATCCAATAAATTTCTTGGGGAGATTCACAATGAAAATTCATGTGTGGGGTGTTGCTTAAGCGTTGTTTTTTCAGGAGTGTGATCCTTATAGATGTCATGTGTTTCTGTAGCTCCATATCTCAATAAATATTATATATATTGATACTGTAATTTTTTTGCGAATTGGAATTTTCTGCCTTTTTTCAGAGATCTTCAGACAATTTTTCTATACGAAGTCAAATCAAACCGAAGCGCTGCCAAAAAACCTAGAAGTCAACCAGGCATTTGGCAATGAGAGTGTTAATAAAGGTTGGTTTGCGAAATTTAGTTCCGCCCTAACCTAACTTAACCCAACCTAACCCAACCTAACCTAACCCAACCAAATCTAATCTAACCTAACATAACCTAACGTAACCTAACCTTACCTAAGCAACCAAACCTAACCTAAGATAACCTAACGTAACCTTACCTTATCTAAATGGCTAGGGGGGTAATTAACATTGCCTACCAAAGACACGAGGCTGATGACCAATGTAGTCGATCCCGATGATACCAAAAAAATGGAAATTTACAATCAGAGCTTTCCGATATATCAAATCAACCTAATGAAGAGTACAACAGACTGTTGGTTGATATTGGAAGTCACAGCATGGAAATGACCTCTGATTTTATGCCTACAACTGTCAACTACGAACTGCCTCATACAATACTGTTCCCGAGTAGAGAGGATTGGATCCTGCGGGAGAAGGAAATATCAAGAGCAGATGTGTTTTTGATCCAACTGTATCAAAAATACCTTCCGGTTCTGGTGTAGGTGTTCTCAGTCGCAGACCCAGAACAGAAATATCAACCTGCTAGGAACCTATGCGACTGTATTTCAAGCGGAAATTTACGCTATTGAATTGTGTGAGAAGAGAATGAAAGAATCCAACCTCATACACAAGTCACAAGCGGCGTTGGAAGTTCTTGGGTCTTACTGAGCTACTAAATTGGTAGCAAATTGCCAAAAACGACTCTCTTCGATAAAAAGACTCAACAGATTGTCTTTGGTCTGGATTCCTGGCCATACTGGCCTAAAAGGCAATGCGGCTGCTTACTCCCTTGCAGAGGAGGGTGCTGTAAGCAGCTTTATTGGACCAGAACCTGTCATTGGCTTTCCTTTAGGCTTTGCCAAACAAACATTGAACATTACTGAAGTTTTTTTCCCAACACCAAATCGTTATTTTTGACACATCGACACGTGTTTCGATCACCAAGTGATCATCTTCAAAAGAAAGATTAAACTGGAAGAAATTTGAAAGGGTAACCACACAGGTATACCATACAGATGTACCACACATACAGGTATACCATACCTTCGGTGTCTTAAAGCTATTTCACAATATGTCTCATCTATTAATTTTACAATACGTCTAATCTTATTTAATCTAGTATTTGAATGTTACAGCTATATATGAAACCATTTTGAAGCTATATAAAAAATAATTCCACGTTGCTATGAAAGCCATGAAAGCCATGAAGAAAAAACAAAAACTTCAGTTTTGTAATGACTGTAAAATAAAAACCATATTTGACTTATGATTATAAAACAAAATGTTCGATGAATTACATGATTCTTCGATTAATAAAAAATTTAGATGAATTACGTATTTTATTTTCCTACTTTTTTGTTCATTCAAATTAAAACCTCAAAAACAGCTCATATCATAATTCATTATCAGTAAAATGAACCAAAATTAACTATTAATGTAAACAAATTACGACCCCAAAGTTCAATTCAATATCCAATAAACTGCCAAATGCGTCACAGAGAATATCATGTGGGCGAGGCGTGGCTCGGCTGGTCTCCATCAAACCACTTTTTTAACAAAAAAATCACCCTCTATACACCACAACGGGGTTACCTACTGAATTAAGACCCTTTTGACACTTCTTCTTCAACCCATTCTGGTCATTGACAATCAAAACCAACAAGGTTGCTCAAGAAGTTACGTCATTCCTTTGTTTTCTCTCTCTCTCTCTCTCAACCCTCAGAGTATATTAAGGACCTTTTGAGATTTTTCTTCGTGGAAGACGTCGACGACAACACCCTTCTGGTCATTGCTGATATCCTGTACAAGAACTAACAAGAGTGCACAAGGACTAACGTCATTCCATTGTTAAAAGGCTTAAAGTTACCACTGAAAAGTGGTAACTTTAAGCCTTTTTGGCAACGCTTCACGTACCTATGTCACCTTTACACCTAAGGGTTGAGAGAACTCGATGGACTTCAGAGAACTGGATGGACTGTATTCAAATTTGAAACCAAACAGTTGTACTATAGTAGGGATGAACTACGATGTCTAACAGGCCTTCTTACAGGTCACTGTTATTCGAATCATCATATGCACTGGACTGTCGGAAGACAGTGTGTGTCGCCTCTGTTTGGAAAATGAAACAGTAGAGCATATACTTTGTGCTTGCCCTGCTGGGAACCGAACCAAATTTTCAGAGTTCGGCAGAGCCGTACTCTTACCATCTAACCCGAAAGACCACTCACCATACAAACTAATCGGGTTCGTTAATAATCTGGGTTTTTTGGTCGAGTGTGAATAAGTGTGAGCCACAGTAAACCCTTGCGGGTTGCGGTGGAGGCTCGAATAGACCCACTCACTTTGGACCCAACCTAAGCTATATCGATATCAATATTATTACGTTTGTTCAAAAATTCCCAGTTCAAATGCAAAAAATGTGAAAATTGGTGACCCGTGGAAATTTTGATTTTTTTTCCTCTTCATTGTGGAGGCCCCGGAGCAGTAGCCCCGCCTGCCCCCCTCTAAATCCGGCCCTGGCTATACGCTGTGAGCAGGCGGTTCCCGCTTCGTGCGTCCTTTGAGGCTCTACGTGTCGCAAGCGGCTTTTTGGGCCCCCTAACCCTGCGCCCGGTACCCCGCACCCCACGCAGTATGGGTAAATCCGCCCCTGTTACTTAATCAAAACCCGTTTACGTTTCTTCAGGTTATTCAGAGTATTGATTGTTGAAATCGTAAGAATTGAAGTCTCTGAAGAAGAAACCCATTTTGAAGTTAGCAATTCTAAAAAGGTGTCATATGACATAAAATCACTTTCTCAGTAAAATCAGTTTCTGTCAGTTGAAGAAATTTCCTCACGGGTAGGATAGTTTTATAATATATCACTATTACATCACATTGTAGTTTCCTCAGAACATTTGTTATAATTTCAATATTTCCCAGTGTGTGCATTCCTCAGATTAATAACAATACATTTGTAATAGTCGAACAAACATATATTCACGATATTACCTTTGATCATTGTGGCCGTAAATCTCTCCACAACTCTGTTTATATCTGAACATCCACATAATGGATTGTTATGGAATCCCTCTACTAATATACACATCTTTCATCGTATATTCGACTGTAACACTTTCACGGTGATCTAACAAAATCGTGCCAGATTTTATTGAAGTGAATTCCAACAACTTATCAAAATAAACTATCAGGTGTCACGGCAGTTTTAAATATTGCAGAAACTGAAATATTGTCGAGGTATTCAGGCCGTAGACGTCACTGGGTCCTAAAATTCTTAGTCAAGCCGCTTCCTTGGCTAAAGAGTCGGCAATGCGATTACCTTTACTCCTGTCGTGCCCTTTAACCCACCTCAGGATAATGTTATTATCTACCGAGGCTATGGCTAAATCTTGGTGGCACTCTAGTACTAGCCCTGAGGTAACACGTTGTCTGTTCAATGCTAGTAGGCTAGTAATTGATAGTGTTTACCTCCGACCTATTTTTGTCAAATCGACCATCAAAAGTTTTTGGCAGCTCCAGTTATTTTTTTTTCGATTTTTACGATATGAGCGTATTTCTTTATCGATACATTGCGTATTTTACTGTGCTTAAATTATTATCTGAATTTTCCACATATTCACGAATTTTTTCTTTATATATGAGTAGTTCCAAGAAACAATGTT